CCCGCTTCGCATTCAGAATCATTTCCCCGTTCCCGTTTTCTTCGTGTCAAAAATCCTCAGCAAAATGGTCCAGAAGAAAACAGAACTCAAAGGTTTCCACCGGTCCTTCAAGGTAAGGCAGCAGCGGGGCCGCAAAGAGCGGAGGGGGCGTGTTGGGATGACATGCCTGCATTTACAAAGAAGGCTCCTTGCCATGGGATGGAGTTAGGGCCGCGCTCTGTTCGTTGATCCGGGGGGTGGGGGTTCGCACGTCCACGGGAGGCGCTTGTGTGCACACGAATATGCCCGGCTGCTGGAGAGCTGTGCAGGGCTGTGTTACTTTCATGCAGCTCTGCTGGGTGGTAAAGAGATGTCAGCGGACTGCCCGGTGGTGAAATAGCATGGTGGGGCGGCAGGGGGCTAGCACGCGTGGTGGGGTGTCCCCGATCTGAGGGGCGAGCTGCGGCGGTGGGGTGCATGTGCCGCACACAACCGCACGGGCCTCCTTGGCGGTAGCAGAGCATTAATGTCCGTGGGAGTTTCGGAGGCTCTGCGCCGCTGCCAGCGAGAGCCCTGCATCACTGCGCGCTCCTGCGAGAGGCCTCGTCGCGGCACCCCGAACCCCGCCTGTGATGCAGTGCAGTGTGCGCGTTGCGTTGCGTTGCCTGTGCGCTGCGGGGCCAGCTGCCGTGGTTGTGGTGCAGCCTTCCCACAACGCCTCCTGCCCCTGAAACCACCCAAACAAAAGGCAAGGCCTGCCCCTCCTCCGAGACCCCAAGGGGCTTGATTTTTCCTAAGTTCCTCACCGAAAGGATGTTAAAAAGGTCTCCACCAATGTCCCATAAAGGATCAGAAGGGAAATAGGAAACCGTCCTGCAGCCAGCTAGTAGCTTCTGCTGCGGGGAGCTGAGCTGAGTGATGTAAATACCTGGGTCATTGATCTGGTTGTATTTAAAGATAAGAGGGGCAGGATTTGACCCCATGTTTCCTTTGGGACTGACATGGCATTACCCCACTCTGACTCATGACGGCCCGCGTAAATCTTCCAACTAATAAAGATGCTTCCTTAAAATAAAATGACCGGACCCGGCCTGTGGACTCGAGCTTCCCACCCGTCTCGCTGAGTCCCAGGCGTTTAGGACTTTCGTTCCCGGCGGTAGGCAGCGTCGGGGGGGCCCCCGGTCCGAGTGACGGTGGGGTGACAGCTGCCTGTTGCTTCCCTAGGGGAGCTGGCATCTGTCGTGGCTCTTGTGCCAGCTTCTGCCTTGCGGGAGCTGGGTGGGGAGACTGGATCCTGCTCTGTCCTGCAGGCAGCGCACAGGGAAGAGGTGCAGCTCAGCCCAGGGCAGTCCGCTTTTGCTTAGGAGGGGTTGGCACTGAGGGCGGAGGGGGTACGTGGCTCCTGCTGCTTGGGTCCACCGCAGAGGGTTGTGCAATGGGCATGGTCTTGCAGCCCCCTGGGCACGGGAGCTCTGTTTACTTCAGGGTATGTACTGTACTGTGCCCTGTCCTGGGCTTACGTTAAGGCCAGAGCTATCCTGTTGCTGATGCAGCTCTTGATTATCCGCTATGAAACCCATACCTTCCCCTAGGCTTGGCTCTGTCCCAAGCCACTCTCTGTTACCAAGCTCCTGTATCTGGTCCTGCTAGACTCGGACAGGAGCGTCCTTCCTGTTGCGTTGCCTCCAGCCTTGTCTCTTTGCTCAGGAGCTGCAAAAAGGGTTTGGGTTTATTAGGACTTTTTTTTTTTCTTTTCCCTGGAGCCCATGGTAGCTGCTGGGCGTCTGTTGCAGCGTCGACGTTGGGACATAATTTATTCAAGCTTGATCTTGGTTTCGGTTTTTTAGGCTGTTAGCGACTTTAATCTTGGGACTCCATCTCGCTTGAAATTGTGCTGATGAACACAGAACCGGCGTGCTGCGCTGCCCCAGCCACAAGCCTGGCGTTAAATCGCCGCCCCCCCCTCCCCTCGCGCGGGCCAGGCGTGTTGTGGATGCAGCAGCTGGTGCAAGGGGTTGGAGGACCCATGAATGGCTCATTTGTTCAGGCATGTGCTTTTCTTTCGGAGCCAGGGGGTAGTCTTGCGAGATGCCGAGGGACCCTCTGTGCCTCTTGGCCTGGAGTTGTGCTTTGTTTCTGCCTTGTCTGCATCACCTGCGGCTCTGCTGCAGCCTGATGTAAGCGCGCTCTCGCCCGGTGCCGGGGTGGCGTTATATAACGGCACCATGCCACATGCAACCTGTTGCTGGGGGGAGAGGCTGAGAAGTTGGAGGTTTTGAACAAAAGACCTAAGTGATGGAGGGGAGAA